TGGGGATGGGCGGTGCCCGGACCTCCTGAGCCTGCTCTCCTCCCCAGCACACACTCACGGGACACAGCGGGAAGGTGCTGTCAGCCAAGTTCCTGCTGGACAACGCACGTATCGTCTCGGGAAGCCATGACCGGACCCTCAAGCTCTGGGACCTCCGCAGCAAAGTCTGTGAGCAGCTGCCCCGTTGTCTGCCTGCCTGCCGTCCGTGTGTCCGTCTGTGCTCACTGCCTGATTTGACCCATTGGCACTGTGCTTGCAGGCATAAAGACGGTGTTTGCCGGATCCAGTTGCAATGATATTGTCTGCACTGAGCAGTGTGTGATGAGTGGGCATTTTGACAAGAAAATCCGCTTCTGGGACATCCGGTATGGCGCCCCTGCTGTGCGTGGAGGGCCCACAGGGTGAAGGGAGGGCCACTGCAGCGGAAGAGCCGGCTGGGCAGTAGTGATGTCCACGGGCCATGGCCCTGCCCAGAGCTCCCCACTCTGGGGGCGGGTGAGGAAATGGATCTGAGGAAACCGTTTTCTGGTGGTGGGGCTGCCATGGGCAGGCTCTGTGGCGAGAAAGTGCCGGCAGCGGAGCTGGAGTGGTTTTCCTGAGGCCAGGCGGTGGCCTCCGCTGTTTCCCCAGGTCCGAGAGCATCATCCGAGAGATGGAGCTGCTGGGGAAGGTGACCGCCCTGGACTTGAACCCGGAACGCACTGAGCTCCTCACTTGCTCCCGGGATGACCTGCTGAAGATCATCGATCTGCGGAAGAACACCGTCCGGCAGTCCTTCAGGTAGTGGACAGGGGTGGGAGGGCTGAAAGTCTGCGTCCAGGTGGGTAACGGGCTGGGTGGCTGGGGATCTGAGCACAGAGGCCCAGGGTGCGGGCCAGCGAGACCTTGGGCCTGTTGTGTGTTTCAGCGCCCCTGGCTTCAAGTGCAGCTCTGACTGGACCAGGGCCGTGTTCAGGTGAGGTTTCCACCCTGCTCCCCAGCTTGGGTGGGTGTGTTAGGGGAAGCCCTCTCCTCACCCATATCCATAGTGACCATGTGAGTGCAACAAGGGGTGGTGGTCCACTCCCTCTACCAGGGATGGTGGGTGCCCACTGTTGGTCCCGGCACTGGACGCCGCACCTTGCGCTCCCGTTTCCTGCCCGGGGCCTCCAAGCAACTCCGGTCCGCAGAAGCTGGGGGTGGGGTTGGCTGAGGCTGGTCCTGCGTGCGTGTGGGGGGGGTGATGCTGCCTGTGGCTGACACTGCTCTTGCCCCCTCCAGCCCTGACGGCAGCTTTGTGACAGCAGGCTCTGCCGAGGGTGCACTCTATGTGTGGAGGGTGCTCACAGGCAAGGTGGAGAAGGTCCTGGCGAAGCAGCACAGGTACGGGGCCCCCAGCCACCTCAAGAAGTCACAACTGAGATTCCCATCCAGTCTGTTGGCTGCTTCTGGAGTCCAGTGTCCATGGGGACTGTCAGGGACCAGTGCCCTGCCCCATCTCCTCTGTGTGAGTGGCAGCAAGCACATCCAGTCAGTGAACCGACTCGCTGTCATGACTGATTCTCACACACGGGACAGCCCCCAGGTCTCTTTGTCCTTAGCATTGTCCAGATGCCCGCCCCCACCCCCCACCTGTTAGAGCGCAGTCCCAGACCTGGCTTCTGCCCGCAGTAAGGGTCCCTCAGACCCACCCTTCACCTAACACCAAAAGCAGGTCTGTCTGCATGTGCCCATCCATCCGTCTGTCTGTCCCTCCCCAGGGCAGGAGCCACAGGCCTGTGGGCACAAGCCCAAGTGTGGCCTCAAGCTCTGACCCTGCTATCCTGGCCTTTTCTCCCTGCAGCGCCGCCATCAACGCTGTGGCCTGGTCCCCCTCGGGCTCGCAGGTGGTCAGTGTGGACAAAGGAAGCAAAGCTGTGCTGTGGTCGGAGTACTGAGGGGCTCCACGGACCCTTCTCCGAGGAGAGGAGCAGACTGCCACAGCAGCGCCGCGTGGCCCGGCCCGGTGCCTTACCCTGCTGAGGGTGG